AAACACTACAAGAAGAAGTAAAGAACCTCCAAGACAAAGTAGATGATCTTGAAAATAGATCACGCCGTAACAACCTATGCTTTGATGGCATCGAGGAATCAGTAGGCGAAAGTTGGTCCCAAACCGAAGAGAAAGTGAAACAAGTCATGTCAAACAAGTTGGACATAAGTGAAGCAGAAGAGGTAGTCATTGAACGAGCTCACCGAGTTGAAGCCAGGCAAATGGGGAAAACTGCCTATTTCAGCTACGATAAATTGATTATTCGAGATCAGCCTTTCATGCAATCTGGCCCTTATTTCCATCCGCGTGGTCGTGGATATGGCCTATTTCGTGGTCGCGGACGCGGAGATCCAACAAGAGTGCACAACTATCACGAAGATTCCACAAACAACTTCATTGATCATACAAGTAATGACTCTGCAAGCGGTTTAACTGATGAATAAGCACAATCTCAAAATGACAAGTTTACGAAATAGTCTTATAAAATTTATATTTTCACCAAAAGACAAAGATAAGTATATAAACTTCACGTTTACATCAAAGGACAAAGATAAGTAAATCATATATACCGCTTTATCTTATACTCTAGATTATCAAAACTTAATTACTCTATAGATTACCAAGAACTTATCCATGTCTAAAAACGATTCCCTAAAATTTATGTCACTTAATGCTAAAGGCCTTTCTGATTTCAAAAAAAGAAGAACAATTTTCAATTGGTGTAGGAATAGAAAAGCAGACATTATTTTTCTTCAAGAAACGCATTCTTTGCATAAATTTGAAAAAAATTGGTCGAATGAATGGGGCGGAAAAGTTTTGTTTTCACATGGGAGTTCCAATGCACGGGGTGTACTTATACTGTTTCGCAATAATTTAGACTTTAAAATAACATCGATAAATTCAGATATACATGGACGTTACATTATTCTTGAAATTGAATTATTTGATAAAACGTTTGTACTTATTAACATATATGCACCAAATGACGACAAGAGCATCATAGAATTTCTTGAACATCTTTATAATGAAATAAGTAGCAAAAACTTAGACGATAGTAACAATTTCATTATCGGTGGAGACTTTAACTGCCCTCTTAATCCACTTTTGGACAAAATGGGAGGCAATATGAACCCTAGAACAAACACAATCAATACAATTGAAAACCTAAAAGTAAATCTTGACCTTATTGACATTTGGAGGGTATTATATCCAGACAAAAAAAGCTTTACTTGGAGTCGGAAAAATCCGGACATTTTCTGTCGATTAGATTATTGGCTTATAAGTAACAACCTACAAGATTTCGTCAAAAAGACAGACATTATCCCAGCAATTAAATCAGATCATTCATCAATAATACTAGAGATCGGGGAAAGTGTAAAAGGCCCAGGATTTTGGAAAATGAATTGTACATTAATTGAGGACAAGCTGTATCAAAACGAAGTCGAATATAATATCAAAGAGTGGATGGAAACAGGCAATAACTTTCACAGGAAAACTGACTGTCTAATCCAATATGGTGATTGACCAAGGGATTAGTCAAGTCTGTCCAATGCCACAGGGCATTGAATAGGTGATTGACTTACTCTGTCCAATACTCTTATCAATACTACATTGTGTTAGACATATCTGGCCAATACCCTGTAAAATCCCATTGGGTGATTGAATAGTCATGTTCAATACTTCATGATGTTGACCAGAGTATTGTTCAGTCCTGCTCAATACCTCGTCAATCCCACCCATGAGATTGCACAGTGTGTTCAATACCACGCCATATTGACCAGAGTATTGTTCAGTCATGTTCAATACCTCGTCAATCCCACCCATGAGATTGCACAGTGTGTTCGATACCACGCCATATTGACCAGAGTATTGTTCAGTCCTNCTGCAAGATATTTAGCAATACTAAAAATTACATGAGTTTAGGAAATAGACATCAGAAATGGGAAAAAAAGGAAAGTTGAGATTTAGAATTAAATTTAAAATGTAATAACATGCCAGACGTGTAATTAAATGTGAAAGCTGGTGTGTTGTTTAATTAAAAAGGAGTGAGTGAGAATGGGAAATGGGAACTTAAAATGATGCATGAAGTGACAAATGACACGGTAATTAAACTTTTCTAATCACAAATAATTATACTTTACATGTGATAGTGCTAAATACATGTCAAGTTTCACATTTCATATATCATATCTATGTTCAAGTTCCCCAATTTATATTAAAATCCGGTCTATTTTCGTATTGTATTTCACTTCTTACGTAACATTTTATATTTTCATGTCATGCATTTACACTTCAAGTATTTTTGCTTTTGTGAAAACAAAGTGAAACAAAGTGTAATACTTAGAGTGTAATAGATCGTAATAGTCATGTAGAGACAACAAAATACAAATGAGCCAAAGTGTAATAGTGCTAAATACGCTAAAGTGTGTTTCACGGGTTGATGAAAACCACTCTATTACCCAATTCAAGTTTAACTTCTTATTTTGTCAGTACTTTAGTTTTCCCCCTCAATTGATTAACAATGTTTTCAACCACCGCTCCTCAAACAAGGTAACCATGAACAACAATTAATTTCGTCCTCCAAAATGCCAAAACAGAACAAAAAATATTAACTACAGCAATAATAATAATAGAGTGGTTTTCGTATGATTGGGAAACTGACCGTACCGTAACCGTAACGTAACTGTTACGGTCAGTTTAATTTCCCACTCAAACGAAAACCGCTCTAACAATACTTTTTTGACGCAATCAAAAAATGTCATTGCGTTTACACAATATGTAAAATATATAAAGAAAGGTGAAAACTCTTTAATGAGTGCTAGGCCGATAGTATGTTTGCATGGAGTAGTCATTTTGAAGAGGAGCATAGCGAGCGAGTCGGTACGTTTACGCGCGAGGCTTGAGAAGCTCAGAGAGATAATTCATAACGCAAGTAGAATTTAAGTAGTTTATTATTTGCTTTTACACGTATTTTTTATTGTAGCTGTAAGGACCTTCCAGATGAAATAAATATGCAAGTTGTCATTCATCAGAGCTGCTGAGGTCAATGGCCTTTTCGGCGGCCATCGCTTTAAGATACTTATTATGCGTTTTTGCAGCTTTAGCAGCAACTTTCATCATTGAAGAAG